AAGGAGCAGGTCGGCAGAGGCCTCAGGTCGCCCTCCTGCTCCCTACGCCTTAGTTTGGTTTCCAACAAGGCGGACATGGTCCATTTTGCTCAATTTTCCACTTCTAATCCCGTGGAGAACGTCAGGGGAGGCGGCTTTCATTCCCCTGAGTGGGTTTCGGCGCTGGAATTCCTTGGATTAACCATCGCCCCTTTTCCAGCCAGATCTGGACCTGGAACCAGCCCGTCCAGCGTCCAAGGCCTGCTCGCCAGCCGGCAGCCACATCCGGCCCAGGCCCAGCGCAGCGGATGCGGGAGGCTGCCCTGGTCGGGAGGGGACCCTCCCGGGAGGGGCTTCGGGCCCTCAGGCTTCTGTGGAGCCCTGGGGGGAGTAGGGGGGAATATAGGGGCAGAAACAGAGACGCGCGGAGCTTCCTGCAAAGGATGGATTCGCACGCCAAAGGGGGACCTGGAGCAGAGGGGCCACGGCCGCCCAGGCCCAGTGACCGATACCCCAACGTCAGAGGAAGGCTGTGTTTAGGTGCGACCGAAATGCCACTAATCAACAGCTCTTTTCAAGGAAGCTCTTGGCCTCCTTATAAATTGAAATAGTAACTTTCAGGAAAATGGGGTCTTGAAACTGGCATTTCAGCCCTAAGTACATGTCGACGGTTTTTTTTTTTTTTGCCTTGGCCATCGCCTGAATCAATCAGGCTGTGCATCGCCCCCCCCCCACCCCCACCCCCACCCCTGGTTCCTGGAGTGAACACTCTGATAAAGTCTCTGGGTTCTTTTTCTCTCGACCTCCCCCAAAGCTCCCTGCCTGCCTGAAGAACCGTTTGCACAGAATCAGATTCTCGCCCGCCCCGCTTTATTACGTGGCCACCATCAATCTTGCCCCTAAAGCGACATTTGTTTATGACCCGGTGGGAAGGGCTAATGGCTTCGGGAACGGATCTACAAAATGAGTCCACAGGAGCCCAAAGACTCGGCGACACCAGGCAGGCCATCCTCGCGCTGGGCACTGAGCTCCGGAGCAAACAGGCACCCCCAGAAGCTCCGGGCGTGGGGTGACTGTGGAAAGAAACTCACCCCCACTGCCGCCAACAGGGGATAGCCCTGCTCCGGGTGTCGGCCTGGATCCACCGGGCGCCGCCTCCCTCCCGGCAGCCGGCCAGCACCGCACCATCCACACCGAAACGGATGGCTCTCCACCTTACAAACCGAGACCCCTCCAAAGGGAACAGCGAGGAGGGCGAAGGCCCCAGTCCCTGGTCACCTATCAAAGTTCAGGGGAGCCACAGGGCTGGAAGGCAGGCTTGTTTCCTGACCCTTGTTCTGACCCTGCAGGAAACAGCCAAGGGCTTAGGGCCACCGGCACAATCGAGCCTTATTCGCCCGCAGACCTCGATTATTAATGACACAAAAGCGGGGCCTGATAAATTGTAAAATGTGTGCTTGTTTGCATGCAGTCTGGTGGAAACGGCCTGTCACCTACATCACCCTGGAGAACAGCACCCACCACCGTGTGATACGCCAAATGCAAACCTATATGTGGCGTGCAGCACGCTGAGAATTACCTACTCTTGTAGAAACTGCTGAGAAGCGTCCACTGCCTCACACAGAACAGAAAGACTGACTTTCCTCAAGCTTTCTACAGAGGCAGACTTCCAAACCAGCCCAGCTCCCACCGCCCCCCCACCACGCTGGGTGTCTGATGTCCCAGGCTAATTCCAAACTGTGCTATTTGTTCAAACATGAAGGAGCTTCTCAGAATATTTCACAGCAAAATTATCCTTGTTGCTGTAACAGTTCCAATCAAATGTGCAAAGCACTAATGAACAACTGGGGCGGGGTCCCTCCAGAATAAAGAGCCCAGACCTCCCAGGGATCAGATGGCTCCAGTCAGCCTTAAACTGTATCCAAGAAGCCAAAACGTCCTGAAAGCAGGACATGTCACATAAGAGGATCTAACATCAGCTCCATGACCAGGCCCTGCACCCTTCCGCTCCAACACAGCTTCTGAACAACGCTGTGGGCCACTCCTGCAGAGAAAACTCTTTTCTCTGCCTACAAGTAACCCAAGCACCTTCCTGGAAGCATATCTTAAAGACCTAACTTTCAAACGCTGGGATCGAAAAGGCAGAAATGGTTGCTAAGAGGCTTCCCTGGGGAGCAAGCCGGCAAGCGCTCTCCTGCTCGGACCCGGGCTGCCCGCCGGCCTCCTCCAGAAGCCGAGGGCCGCTCCGCGCTCCCACTCCAGCCCCTGGACTTGGGCGGGAAGGACGAGCCGAGTCGGAAGCTCCGCCGGGCCGGCCAGCTCTCTCCCACCCTCGCCGCCCAGCACCGAGGGCGGGTCGAGGCCAGGCCCTGAGGCCGCGGGGACGCCCCCCGCCCGAGGAGAGGCTCTAGCTGCCCCGCGGCCTCCGCGAACCGGACGCGCGCGCCGAGAGGGGACGCGGCCCAGCAGAGAGGCCGCCCGGGCCCAGAACCGGCCAATCGGCCGGGCCGAGGCTGTCAGGCCGGCCAGGGCACGCGGGGCGCCGGCGGCGGGGCCTGCCCGTCGTCCCCGGGCCGCTGCGCGCTGGACGAAGGCACGTGCGTCCTCCAGACAAAGCGGCGGGCGCGGCGGGCGCGGGACCGGAGCCCCGCGCCAGGCACAGACGCATGGTGGGCCCGCCCGCCCCGGACCCGGCCAGAGGCGCCTTGACGCGGCTCTCCCGGCGTCCGACCCAGCAGGGCGGAGAGGAGGAGCCGTGGGCGCTAAGCGCCCAGGACGTTTCTTCCCCCTAATTAGCCGAGGAGCGTCCGGCCCCGAGGCCGGGTACGGCGAGGTCCACCCGGCCGCCCACCGCTCAGAGAATCGGGGCGGCCTAGGTCGGAGGGCTAGGCTCCCGCAGCCCGCCTGGGGGCGAGTGGGGGCGCTCCGCGTCCGTGCGGACCGGGCCGCTGGCCACCTGCGGCCGCTTCTCTCGGGGCCGGCCCCGCGCCGCCGCGGCCCCTTTGTCCGTCAGCCCGGCTCCGCTCTCGGCTCCCACGGATGAGCCACGCGGGAGCCAGGCGGTTTGCCCGCGGGTCCTTCGCCTTCACTTCCAAACGGGGGCTCCCGGGAGGCGCCAGGCCGCCCAGCCCGGGGCTGCGACGCGGAGGCCGCGCGGCTGGGAGGCCGGTCCCAGTGGCCTGCCCCCGGGGCCGCCGCGCCCCGCGCCCTGCGCGCCTCCCGGCTCGACTCTGAGCCAGGGACCCAGCAAATCAGAGGCCGTGTAAAGCAGTTTTTGACTGGAAGTAGAGTGTATTTATTTGCAGCAATCCTTTAACAATGATCAAATTTTGACAACAAGCAACAGCAATTACTGCTAAGTGTTGCCTCTAGATCGGAGCGGCAGATAGCAGGAAACTGTATTATCTCCAAAACAAACGGAAAGGCCCTGAAAGTCTGTAATCAAATCGCCATCTCCCCGAAGTCTGATTGACAGGGCAGATCACCCTAAGATAAGGAATTTATTACATTTCCTGGGTTATTTACAAAAGGAGGGGGCCGGCGGACTGCCCCATAGGTTTAACTGTAAATTAACAAGAAAAATGGGACTGAAAAGAAACCACCTGGACTAAAATGCCCTGCTTCCTGCTCCTTCCTTCTTGTTATTGCTTTAAATCTTTTTCCAAAACATAATTGTTCTACAAACATATCTTCTAAAATAGTTTCCCAAAGATTAAATATCCCTTTCCAACCCGCAGTACATTAAAATAAAAATCAATCCTACATTAGACATGAAGGATTGTAGATGTTGATGAGTTATATACACACATTTAAAAGCTGGGGGTTTTTTTCCCCTTCATAAAAAGGAGTGAAATTAACAGGAAGAAAATTCATCCAGCATTTGGCTCACAGGGATGTCTGATAAGTACGACAGTTTTTTAAGTGATACACAAGCCAAATATTCAAATGTGTATCTGAAGGCACAGCTACCTCTCCACACACAGGTATCACTGTGGTGAGACTGCTGCTGATTCATGGGCTTGAAATTTCCAAATCCTGTTGTCATTACTGAGAAAATGCTTTGTGTATATGCCAACTCAGATATGTTTAGGAAAATCTCTTTTTACTAGCCACAAAGCAAGCTGACTATATAGTACTTTTGCAGAAGATGCCGCAGGAAAAAAATAAATCTAAACAAAAAGAGACTTATGCATGTAATTTGACCAGGAATAGTCAGAAGTTGTCTCTACTTTTTTTTTTTTTCAGAGATTTAGAAGGAGAATTGGTAATTTCTAGTGTTTTAATCTCTGAAATCTTTTTCTCTTATAAGAATTAAGGCTGTATTAAAGTATCCAAACATATAGGTCTCATTCAAACTGAATGGTAATTTATTAATAAACAATGAATATGCTCAACAAAGAGAAAGCAAAGATGATAGAATAAGATTAATACAGTTTCCCTTTTCATAATCAAAAAAGCACAATTTAAAGTTTCAGGCAATTTAACGTCAGGTTTTGGAAACACTTTCTGGCGTTTGGTCCACGGACATCCAACTACAAATTAAAAATAAATTACTATGTTGCAATTTACATTTTAAAACAAGTCCAGGAATAAAAAGAAAGCCGTTTCCATGCATGGGGGACTTCCTCTCTCCTTTCGATAGAGGATAAAATAATATCTTACAGGTGAGAGGGCAAGGGACAGGGCAGGAGGAGGAGAGGTGTTCTCTAAAAAGAAGAAACTTACGTGTTATCTGGAGTAACACTGTCCTTTAACAAACCATGACTCTGCTGTCTCTGTACAAAACAGTTTACGGTTCTGTTTATTTAGATAAAGCAAAGTGGAGGTGGCTCCGAATCCATCTTCTGAGAGAAGAAAGCCTTTACTTCACGCTGGTGACTTGCAAGTGTGGAGGGCTTCTGTTTGCTGGTTGGGTGGACGTTTTACGGACTGGGTTTTTGGTTTCGCTTTTGTGCCGAGGGTCCTTTTGGCTGCTCCTGCTCCGGGGTTCGGTTCGGTCCGGTCCGGGGCGGAGGCGGGGGTCAAAACTTGCTGCAGTCGTAGACGAAGGCCCCGGACGTGCGGTACAGGGACTGGCCAGAAGGGAAGGCCATCTGACAGCTGCTGCTCCCGTTTACCGGCGAGTTGTTCAGGCCGATGCGCTGCGACTCGAACATCTCCCGCACCGAGTGGAAGTTCTGCTGCTGGCCCGGGTAGCCCGCGGCCGCCGCCGCCGCGCTGGCCAGGTGGCCCAGGTCCCCGCCCGCCTGGTTCAGGTACCACGAGGCCAGGCGGCCTTGGTGGGCCGCGGCGTGGTGGCCGGCCTCCTGGCCGCCGCCGCCGCCGTGGCCCAGGGACGAGGAGCTGCTGCTGCTGGTGGCCGGGGGCAGGGAGTAGTCGGGCAGGGGGTCGTCCACCGAGGAGCCTCCGGCGCCCGCGGGCGCGCCCGGCACGTGGCCGCTGCGCTCCCCGGCAGCGTACAGGCTCATGGCCTGCAGGTTACAGTGGTAGGTCCCGGCGCCCCCCGCCCCGCCGCCCCCGCCCGCGCCGCCCGCGCCGCCCGCGCCGGGGCTCTGGCTGCAGGGCGAGCCGTACAGCGAGCTCTGGCCCGGCGAGTAGGCGCCGAGAGCCAGCGGGGGCGCGAGGCCCGCGCGCGAGGACGCGGCGGCCGGGGCCAGGAGGCCGGATCCCAGCTCGGCGGCCGCGCCCTGCGGCGACCCCCGCAGCGACGTCATGATGTTGTCCACGCTGAAGCCCTGGCTGTGCGCGGGCGCGGGCGCGGGCGGCGGGCCGGGCTCCGCGCCGTCCAGGCCCAGCGGCCGCGCCGCCGGCAGGCCGCCGGGGGGGCTGCCCCCGCTGGACAGGCTGCTGCTGCTGCTGTCGGGGCTTTCGATTTTGGGCACCGCGGCGGCGCCGGCGCTGCCGCTGCCCAGGGCGGCGGCCGGGGACAGGGGCTGGGGCGGCGAGGGGCACGTACCGTTCTCGGTCTTGATGTCCTGGATGCGCACGGGCGGGGGCTGCGCCCCGGGCGGCGCGCCGTCGGCCTGCTCAGGGGGCGCGGGCGCGGGTTGGCGGCCGGCCGGCGGCGGCGGCGGCGGCGGCTCTTTGAGGTGCAGCCGGTCCTTCTCCTCCTTGTCCTTCACGGCGTCCTTCTTCTTGAAGCGCCGCCGCCGCCGCAGGAAGCTGCCGTTCTCGAACATGTTGTAGGAGTCCGGGTCGAGCGTCCAGTAGCTGCCCTTGCCTGGCTTCTTGTCGTCGCGCGGCACCTTGACGAAGCACTCGTTGAGCGAGAGATTGTGGCGGATGCTGTTCTGCCAGCCCTGCTTGTTGTCCCGGTAGAAGGGGAAGCGGTCCATGATGAACTGGTAGATGCCGTTCAGGGTGATCTTCTTGTCCGGCGCGTTCTGGATGGCCATGGTGATGAGCGCGATGTAGCTGTAGGGCGGCTTCACCATGTCCTTGGGCTGCGGCTGCGGCGTGTAGGGCCCGTAGGCGCGGGCCATGCCGCCCGGGTACTGCTCGGCGTGCGCCGGGTGTGAGTACACGCTCATGGGGGCCGGCATGGCCGTGTAGCCGCCCCCTGCCGCCGCCGCCGCCGCGCGGTAGTAGCTCTGCTCGCCGCCGAGGTAGGGCACCACTCCCAGGGAGTTGGGGCTGGACACGGAGTAGCGCGCCTGCATGGCCCCGCTCGCCGCCGCCGCCCCCCGCCCTCGCCGGGCCGGCCGCCCAGTCCGAGTCCGGGCCCGCGGGCCGGTGCCGGGCCGCCGCCTCCCCTACGCGCGCCCGGCTCCGGGGCGCCTCGGGCCGGCAGAGAGGGCCGGACGAGGACGCGGCCGACGGCCTGGATCGCGCGCCGCGGCTTCCCGGCGGGAGCGGGAGCGCGGAGCCCGGGCTGGAAAACAAGCCGGAGCCCGGGCTGGAAAACAAGCCGAAGCCCGGCCCGCCGCGCCGCCTGCGCCTCGCGGAGGCTGAGCCCCAGCCGCCGGCGGGGCGGCCAGAGGAGCGGGCGGGGGCAGCGCGCCGGCCCCGGCCCGGGCCGCGTCACCTTTCTCAGTCTCTCGCGCGCCGGCCGCTTAAGGAAGCATTGGGAAAACTCCTGAACTTTTGAGCATCCGTCACCCAGGCGAGGACTTTTTTACGCAGTTACATTTTTTCCGGGCCGCGGGGCCCCGCCCCGTCCCGGCGGCGGCGGCCAATGGGAGGCGGGAACGCCTCCGAAGGAGTCGGAGGCCGAGCGGGCCGGCCCGCGCCCCGCCGCGGAGGACCGCGGGCTGACCACACGCGCGCCGGCCCGCCTGCCCCGCGCCCGCGCGCGCCCCTGCCCGCACCCCCGCTGGCGCCCTCGGCCGTGGGCCCCCGCGTCCGCCGGCCGCGCAGAGCCCTTTCCCCGCCCCGGGCCCTGCTTTGGACGTCCATTGTTCCCGCGGCCCGGCCGGGCCCTCCGGTCCCCGTGCAGACCCTTCCTCGTCCGCTGCTCCCCGATGTCACGGCGTCCTGGGATCCCGACTCTCCCATTCTCGAAACCCCAGGCCCCTCCTCGCCGACCCGGCGCCGTCGCCGGGGTTTCCCGGGCCGCTCCTCCTCCCCTCCCTTCTCCCTTCTCCCCCCTCCCCTCTCTTCTCCCCCCTCCCCTCTCTTCTCCCCCCTCCCCCCTTCTTCCTCCTTCCTAGTCCTCCCTATTTCTGTCCCCTCTCCGCTATTCTCCCCTGCTCCCCCCACACTCTCCCTCCCCTATTCCCCCCATTCTCCCCCTAGTCTCCCCTCCCCTAGTCTCCCCTCCTCCATTCTCCCCTCCCCTATTCTCCCCATTCTCCCCCCCCATTCTTCCCCTCCTCCATTCTCCCCTCCCCTATTCTCACCTATTCTCCCACACTCGCCCCTCCCCCACACTCTCCCCTCCCCTACACCCTCCCCTCCCCTATTCTCCCTTCCCCTCCACTCCTGATCACCGGTCTCCCGGGTTCCCAGAAGTCCCCAGTCCCCCCACCTGGAAGTTCTCCAGTCTTGAGCAGGGTTACAAAAAGGCACAGTTCTGAGTCTGAAAGCAGGGCTGCCGGCACTCTGTTCTGGGTGGGAGCAGGGTTGTTGCTCCTGCCTCACTGTTTCCTGGACCCCTCCCCAGTAGAAACAAGGGAGTGGGACACGGGGCCTTGCCAAGAGCTCCGGCCCGTCGGCGGCGAGGGTCTGCCGCGCGCGCTCCTGGAGCCTGGGCGTCCCTGGGCTTCTCGGGGGTTCTCGGGCATGGCTTCCTCTGGGGGAGGCCGGCACCCTTCGGCCCAGAGGAGGGGTCGCGCTGCGAACTCAGTGAGGAGAGCGGGTGGCGAGGAGTAAAGACGGCCACCTCCTTCCCCGCCCTGCGCGGCTCCTGCCTGCAGAGATAGCGGATCGATGGGGTGGAGGGGGACTTACAGAATCGCACCTGCAGGGCCCTCGAGGGTACGGGGGACCCCTAGACTTGCAGCTCGTGTCTGGGATGAAGAGCAGGGAGGCGCCGGCCTCCGGGACTGCGGGGCTTTCTGCACTTTGGCCAACCCGGAGCGGCCCTCTGGGCCCTCTCCTGACGCGCCTCTGAAGAGCTGCACCCCTCACACCTCCACCCTCGGTTCCGGACGGTCTCGAACTGCGACGACGTGTCCGGAGCCCTTTAGCTTCCCGGCTCGAGTCTGGCTTCCTCCACAGCCCCAGCCACAGCAGCGCTCCGTGTCAGGGCGCGGGCCTGTGCGGTGTTAAACCTTTGGGTTTCCGAGTGGGCCCTGACACAGAGAAACCCGGGTATCTGCTCCTCCTGAGCCGGCGGTGCCCCGAAGCCCGGCTCCCAGCGCCGCGCGGCCTGCAGAGCGCCTGGGCCCTCGGCCTGCTTCCCGGGCCCCCACCAGGCAGCGTCTCCACCGCCACCGAGAAACCCTGAGTTAGGGGCAGAGGCTCGATGCTCCTGGGCACCCGGTGGGCAAGAGGCGCGGCCACGAGACCGAACAGTGCGTTGATGTCCAGCACCCTCCCGCATCCCGCCGGAACCCGCCGCCTTGACCGAGGCCTTGTGGGCGCCCTGGCTTCCGAGCAGCCTGGAGGCCAAGGAAGTCAGCGGTCGCCCCGAACGCCTTGGCCTCTGGCGACTTCGGCCTTTGAACTGCGTTTCCACCGCTCGCGGCACGCGGGCACCAACGCGGCCATGGAGACTCGCCGGTTTCCCGGCGCGGGGACCCGCAGCTCGTGCGGGAGACGTGGTGCGCGCTACCTGGCCCGCGCGGCCTCTCTGCTCCCGGCTCCGAGGCCCGAGAGGTGGAAAGAGCTCCTTAGGTAAACTGCAAATCCGACAGCCGGCCGTGCTGGGCCGCTTCAGGGATGAAAGTGGCCGTTGTGAAATAAGTTTCTGGCGCGCGGGGGAAAAGGAGGGTGCAGTTTACGAAGATCAACTTTCCCCTGGTCGAGCTCTGGATATTCGCCAGGAAAAGATATTTGCGTTTGTGTTTTATAAGCTTCCTCGGAAGCAAACCTCCACTAAACGGCTTGATTGTATTTCTAGTACTTATGTTATTATTGTCGGTGGTGGTGGTATGTGGACACGAAGGCGCAGAAATGAAGTCTTCAGGGAATGGGGTGAAGTTTTTATTTTCGGCTAGGGTTTATGATGCCCCTTGCATAGTTCAGTCACTGTCCCCATGACCTTAACTGGCAGAAATGCCTTCGCAGGAAACCTTCACTGTTTTTCTGACACCTCGCGGCTGTGACCTGAAGGTCCGCGGGCGACAGCGGTAATGGATGTGTTTCTTCGGACGGTCGCTGACCTTCCCGGCCCCATCCCTTCCTTGACCCGCCAGCGGGGGAGGGGGGGTCACAATTCCTTGACCCTAGAGGGGGTCTTAGCTCTGGAGAGGGGCGTCACAGCCTTCCCCAAAACAGGACTCCCGAGCCCTCCGCTGGAAGAGCTTGAGGAAGGGAGAGGGGGCGGGCCCTGCAGGAAATGCCCAACTGGGACCTGGTGACACCGCAGGAAGAGGGGGGGAGGGGTGATCCCCGCCAGGCACCGGGGAGCTGGGGGGCGGCTTCTTTTCATGTCTTGATAAAGGGAATAGGGATCCGGGAGGGGGCAGGGATCCCCGGCCCAGAAAAGGATTCCCAAGGGGCTGCGAGTTCAGCCCGAGTTCCTGGCATTGTCCTTCAGAGACCCCTCGGGAACTTTCCAGCGCCGCACCCGCCCCCCCCAGCCCCGGACAGTGACCCTCCCCAGACACAAGCAGGCCCCTCCGCCCAGTGTCCGGTGGGTCCCGGCTGGCTCACCGGATGCCCTGCGGGGAAGCTAGCCCCTCAGGGGGTCCGGACTGGTCTGGTGACAAGCTGCAGGGGTCGTCAGGAAAGCTGGCTGTCCCTCTAGACGGTCAGTCAGCCCTGCATGGGGGGATGCTGCACGGGGGGCAGGGGTTTCTGCAGGGCCGCAGCTTTCCCACCTTCCCCCCTTTCGCTGCCGGGAGACAAGCATGGAGTATGGAACACTTAACGGACAGTGGGACCCTAAGTCGCCCCGCTAGACTGAAGTCACAAGCAATTGTAGCCACGTCCGTTTCAGGGTGTCTTCGCGCTATTTAGAATCCTGTGGAATTTCTCCACGTGGCCTCCTTCAGGAAGAGCTGAAGTCCAGGGGTGGGGGAGGATACAAGCTGTCAGTGATCGTTACTCGTTATCAGACCCTCGGACAAGCAGGCAGCGCTGGGCATCGGCGCAGGGCTGGGCAGGGCAGACATCCAGCCTCCTGGAGGATCGACTTCTCTCTCCATTGGGGGGGGGGGGGTTTCGACGTACTTGTTCTGTTAATGCAGTCTTCCTGGCTCAGTCCCCTCCTTAGTAGAAAAATAATTCCTATGATAAATAAAAAGTGCATTTGTTTTTCGATTTTAAAAATCGAAAACAATCTAAAGACAAAGTGATGTCCATGACTGAACGAATTGTGCAGTTGCTGTCCTACAGGCAGCCTCCACAGGAAGTTTATGTGATGGGGAAATTTAATGTCCCCCTAGTCCCCACGACGGGCCGTCCCACTAATTACTCTCACTGGCGGGAGTGTGCCCACACCTGCTCAGGGTTGCCTGGGGTCGGCCCACCTGCCACCGGCCGCAGGGAATGCCGGCCTCCCAGAGTGTTTCTGGGGCGCAGAGCTAGCTGAGGGTGGAGAAGGGGCCGCGGGGAGCTTTACCCATGGTCCTGGCTGTGCATGCTGGGGGCTTCCTTTGTCCTGGCAGAGGTAGGTGATGAGAACTGCCTCCTTTCCTTAGCCAGCCAGGACGAAAAAAAAAAAAAAGTTAAGCGTGGATGAACGGAAGGACCAGTCTCGCCTCGGGTTCTTTCCACCCGGGTCCCCACTGAGACTTGGGAGCAGCCTGGCCTTCAAGGGTCGACGACCCGCGGGGCCCCGGGTGCGCGGTGCGGGCGACAGGGACCCCGGGCGGGCTCCGGGTGTCGGAGGATAGGCCTCTGTGCGCAGACAGACCCGAAGGCCGGCCCACCCCGCAACTGGGAGGAGTCGGCCGCACCTCGTGGCGGCGGGGCCTTGTTCCGGGACGGCTCCCCTGTTCTTCAGCCCGGCTCGGGGGCCCCACGCGCGGGACCGGACCCCCTCCCGCTCAGGAGCGGCCTGAGGAGCCGGAGCCCCGACGCCCCGGCCCTCTGCGAACTGGCCGCCAGGGACCCGGGACGCTCCATCCGCCCGACCCAGGGCGCGGAGGGCGAGGCCGGCCTGCTCCCAAAGCTCCCAGGCGGCCCCGGGGTCCTCGGCCCGGCTCGCCGTCCGCACCTTCAGGGCGGATGCAGGCCGGCACCGGGTTCCGAGCAGCCGGTCCCGGGTCGTCGTGTGCATCTGCAGCGGGGAGAGCGGCCCAGCGGTGCCCACAGCTTCCCGCCTCGGCCGCGAGGGCGCCGGGCCGGGAAGCAGGGGGGTCGGGAGGCCGCACCTGAGGCGGGAGCTCTGGACCCCGGGGCGCAGGCCCCCGGCCAAACCGCCCGCTGCGCGGGGCTCAGGCCGCTCCGGCTCCGGCTCCCGCTCCGGCCCTGCGCGCGCCCCGAGCGCCCCCTGCCGCCCGCGGCCGCCCCTGGGCGACTCGAAGCCCCGCGGCGCCCAGGCCCAGCCCCTCCGCGCAGCCCGGGGAGGGGGTCTCTGCGGAAGGGGCCCCGTGGGAGGCCCGCCCGCCCGGCTCCGGGTCCTCGCAGCCCGCAAGCTCTCCAGCGTGCCCGCGGGAGGAGTCCGGCCGGCAGGCCCCTTGGAGGGACCGGCTCACTCCCTGGCGCAAGCCTGGGAGCCTTTGCTCCGGGACCCTAGACGACCCGGCTGGAGGCTCGCAGCCCCGCCACTCTCCTCTCAGCGGCCCCTTCAATTGACGTGCACGTCACAGAGAAAGAGGGGCCGCCCGGTCAAGGGAACTACGTTCTGGGAGAGGCCAAGGAATGCGTTTACTGGCAGCCAGGGTTGCCAATAAAAGTTGCAAATGAAGGCCGCTGGTTTCCAGGAAAAAGTACTTCTGTTTTTTAACCGCTCCTTAGTCTTAATTACCAAAAAACTGAACCCCCAAAGAATCGATTTGGAGAACAGGGCGGGGGAGGTGGGGCCGGCGGCGCTTTGGCGTGGACCACAGTCCCAGGCGCATTTCCACCGGGAGACCCGCACACAGATGGCGCGTGGATGCGGCCGCCTGGTGGAGCCCGGCGAGACGCTGGCGTATGGGAGGGATGCACTTGCGTTAGGGCTGTTTAGTTTGGAAATGAAAATTTAAGGAAAGATAAACTACAGTGAATAGAGGCAAATTTCCACAGAATGTAACTAAGTAGGAATAAATGTATGAAAGGAAAAGAGCCGCGTTGTAGCCACTGTGATTGCTCCCATATTTTTTAAGGCCAGTGGTTGACTCAGGTTAAAATTGACGGCGACAAACTTGTGACTTTTTTACTGAGGTCCGCTTTGCTTGAGATCACAGAGACCCCAGCCGGAATGAGAAAACCTCTCCACGCCCCAAAGCTGGCCTCCTCCGGCAGACCTGGTGGGGAGCGGCAGGTGGACCCGGTCAGGGTGAACTTGCACATGGGGTGGGGAGCCACGGGGGTCGTCCTGTCCAGGGCCGAGAGTCACCTTCCCATTGAATCCCTGCGTGGGTACCGTCTTCTGTGTCTTATGCGGGAGGAAGCTGGGCTTAGAGTGACTGCCCAGGTCACGTACCGTCCCTTTCCGTCTTACTCCGCTGTGTCTCCTTGGCACTAAGGTGCCCTTTGTGATAAGGTATATGGCTTATGTGCCACCAAGAGAAGACGTTGAACTATTAAACCTCATCCGTGATAAGTCTGATGATTTCAGATGTTAAAGTGTATGTCCCAGATCACTGGTAGCTGGGCTAACCCATGTAATCAGCAGACATAGGGAGGTGTCCTTGTTCAGAGTATTCCCAGCAGAGGGATGTGTCACCTGGGCTGGACACGTCTGTGGAGGTGTGTACTGGTCACTACGGGGAGAACGCCCACCCCGGGGTCTCGAGTCTGCTGTGAGTGCAGATGGCCCTGTGCTGGCCGCAGGAGCTCTAGCAGAGCCTATGCCTTCTCTCATGTGAGGGCCGTCTTGGCTCCTCTCCTGGATTTCCCATCCACATGGATGTCCTCAGGACTGTCCCCGGGGAGGGGACATGGAAAGAGGCACATCAAGGATGAGCTGATCTTTCCCAGCCCCCTTCACGGCTGGTCCTACCAGTTCAGAAGGACCAGCCAGCAGGGCCTTGCAGGCTGGGAGAGCTCAGGGCACTGCTGGAAACCCCGACAGGTCACTCTGTGCCCTCGGAGACTCGGGAGGGCGAGGCGGGGGGACAGGGCATCAGACCTCGTGGCTCAAGCGTGGCTGACCCCCACGACCCCGTGAGGGCACTGCCTGGCTGTCATGTCACAGAGGGGGTGCCTGAGGCTCGGGCCACCTGCTTCTGAAGTGGGTGAGCCCCAACTCCCAGCCAAGATTTGCAGAGTCCCCAGCGAGTAGGGGTGGTGAGGGGTGGCAGGTGGGGAGTGGGGCTGGGCTGGGGTGGGGTGGGGTGGGGGAGGCGCTTCCACAGCTCTGGGGCTCTGGTCTCCGTGGGACAGGGCAGCAAAGTGTCCTGGGCCCTGTGGTGCCTGGGGGCCCTTCTGGGGCAGGACTCCCTGTGTCTTCCCAGGAAGGGCCTGCAGTCCCGGCTCTGGCGTGTGCGTCCCCCCAGCCAGTCGCCACAGCCGGGGTGGGCACCTTAGGCCAGACTCCCTGGGGACGCCAGCCGCCCTCGGCCGGCTCTGGCGACAGCCTGGACGGCCCTGCTTCCCTTCAGGAGCAGCCGGCGAGGGCGTCTGTGTGTGCAGGGCGCACGCGGAGCCCACACCAGGGCCTGTGTTTAGTCTGTCTCGCTGACGTCCTTCCTGAAGAGATGGGAAGAGGAAACGCTCCTCTCGGCCATTTTTGCCGGCGCTACCCCGGCTCATCCATCATTTTCTCACCTCTTGTCCCGGGACGCGGCTCTGCACTGCCGGCCTCGAGCAGCCGGTCCCGGGAGAGGCCTCTCCGCAGCCTCTCACACAAAGGTTTACATTATTGGCCATCCCTGTGATGAAACGGGCTCCAGATTAGATAAGGTTAAATTACACTTTTATAGGGTGCCAGTATCGTATTAGGAGACGTTCTCTTTTCATTTGAGTGTGCGCTTGTAATAATAGTTTGTTTTTATACTTATCTCTCCTCTAAAGCAGGCAACATATATACACGCTGTGACTTATTAGGGAGAGGACCACTCACTACCCGGAAGGTGGGGGCAGGGGGGCTCAGTCATTGCGGAGAAAGAGCACGTTGCTCACAGTGGTGACTTCTGGAAGCCGGCCCAGCCCGCCGTGCGGAGCTGCCCTGTCTGTGTGGCGACTCTGCGTGGTTCCCGCTGCCATCTTAAACAGCCCAGAGTAGTTCTCATTGTTTGCCTTTATGAGTCCCAGCTATCAAAGATGGTTTGTTTGCTGTATTTGTTTTAGTAAGGAACCCGTCCAAAGGCAGACAGACATGTCACTGGGAAAATGTTTTGGCAGGAGGCGGGCAGGGGTTTTACATAATAGGAAAACAGATGGGCCGCACCCTCTCACATCAAGGCAAACACAGCCACACATTTCGTCTTGTATCAGTCACGTTGTCCACTGTCTGCTGGAAGCAGGTTAGTTTTCTAGTAAACATCACCGTCATCCATGTCAACTGTTTTCTCTGGAATGGGCTCAGGCTTACCCAGACTGTAGTGCTGAGTCCATTTTAGCTTGTCATTGGACATTTTAAAAGACAGGGCTAGTGCATTGCAGTCCCATTTCCTTTGACTTTTAAGTGAATTTTGAAAAATCTGTGTTTCACATTCCTCCTCGGTTTGGCAGAGTTTGAATGTTCCTCGATTATGCGTTCGATGAAGTAAACAAGCTTTTCTGACTCTCCTTTTCCTCCTCTCACTGCTGGAACTTCAGCCTTCCTGATGATATCTCCATAGCTTTGCTGATTTCAAGGAGGTTCAATTATCAGGCGGTGCTGACAGCCTGTCGTAAATCTCATGAAAGGACAGTGGTGCTTTATTTTCCAGCGCTGTCAAGCGTTTTCCAAGTAGGTAAGCAGAAAGCGTCCCCTAGCAGATCAGAGTTACATTAAACATAGGTCACGTGCTGTCTTCGAAGTTCTCGGTCACGTCTCTTTAAAAACGCTTTTCTCTGCTGGGCAGATCAGAGTTACATTAAACATAGGTCACGTGCTGTCTTCGAAGTTCTCGGTCACGTCTCTTTAAAAACGCTTTTCTCTGCTGGGCCTGGCTCTGCTTTTCCAAGATCAGCAAGGCTCTTGGTTTTGTCCAGCAGACAAACATTCTGCAAGTATGTACATCAGGTGTAGAATAAAGACCATGGGTACACCACTTGTTCTCTGCCTTAGGAAAAGTTTGACTTGTGACTAATCCATGTGAATTTATGTCTTGCAGATTCAGCTCATCGTCCACCCCTGTGCCCACCACTTCTGGACATTTTACATTGTATTTAACATTTGAGTTTAGCTGGGGGTGGAGTGTGGTGGGAGAGAATGGAGGTGATGTCAGAGAAGGACTCAAATGGGGACCAGGTTATTGAGGAAGAGACGTGATGGGCTTTTCATGGGTCCCACCTTCTGTTAAAAGGCAGGATGGCTGTGGCTGTGTGGTTCCGGCTGAGCCCCCCCAGTGGTCTGGCTGGACGGGAGATTTGGGGGATTCGGGGCTGGCCTTCTCTGTGCTAGCTGGACTTTCTTTCTTTGTGGGAGGGGGAGTGGGTATTTTTGTTCAAGCATGCCCCTTTTTTTTCTTTGTTCAAAAGACACGTGGACTCTAATACTTCACCGAAAGTTGCTTCTGTAGCGCCCGCTTCTCTCTGTGCCCTGGGGCAGAGGCGGGGGTGTGGGGGGCAGTGGGGATGAAGGGACCCACGTGGAGGGGAGGGAATCCCCCCCACCCCCTCCTGCAGCAGGTCCAGGTCGGGTGGCAAGGTCAGCACCTTGGCATCAGACACCCTGAAGCTGGGCGTCTGGGAGCTGGTGCAGGAAGGACCAGGCTTTGGTCAGGAGCAGAAGAGAATGTGAGGGGAAGCAGGGCTCCCCAGGCAGCTGCCTGGCCAGACTCGAGCTCCAAGCAAACATGTGCGCCTACAGAAGGCGGTGTTCTCACCGACGCAGGCAGTCTCCTGGGGCCTTCCTGCGGATGGAAGGCAGGGCCATCTGCTGGGGGCAGGGTCCTACGGCCCATCTGGCCAATGGGGTTCACCTGGGGGCAGCCACCAGGCAGGGCTCAGCCCCGCACTCTGTCTGCAGGGCCCGTGCCCTCC